AGGTTGTTTCAGAGTTCCATCTGTGAGTTAGCCATGCCCTGACTTAGATCAGCCCAGAGGTTGTTTCAGGGTTCCATCTGTGAGTTAGCCAACTTCAACTTGTTTATTTACACTTTTTTTATATACAGTTATATATTTACAGGATATAATATACAAATACATATTTTAATACAAATAAGGGAAATTATATTTTTAGGTAATAAAAGTGTAGGGCGATTAAAGTAGCTTATGCTTTCTAGTTAATTGCCCTCCATAGTGGATTAGTTAAGTATATATAGCGTCAAAAAAAAGAGGAATTACAAAATATCATAAACACACACACATAACAGGACATAATGGCAACTACTTTTTTTTTTAGATCAGCCCAGAGGTTGTTTCAGGGATCAATAAAATTTGAAGGTTTTTTTGAAAAACAACCAAATAAACAAGTTTTACTCATGACACTGACCATGGAAATGATCATAGATATTCTGTACTCCTTACCTTCATTTCTTTTCATTTTCTAGGCGTAGTGTGAATCATCTCTGGCAAGTCCTTTTATATACTAGAAGAATATTTTATAAAATTGATACGAGAGACCCTCTAAATCCAGAAGCAGCTAATCTGTAAGCATTTAACATTTATCCTTGAATTGCCCTTTAACATTATGACTGACGTCACAGCATGTTTACAGTGGGGAACAGAATCAATAAAAACAATGGAAATTTCAACTAAATCTCTTTCACATGAAAAGATTGGTTTCAAATTGGCTATTTTCCATATATGTTATGAGTCAATGTTTATCCTTTGACACTTATGTATTAGCTTTTCCCCATGAGGGCAGGGACACCACAACAGCTTTATGCCAATTACAGTGGGCCCTGTAGAGTTTTAGCACGGGCACTGAAGATGGTCGTCACCAGTGTCTTCAGTCGATCTTTTACGTCTGCCTCATACAGGGTTATATAGTGAAGACAGACGGGGCCTACAATTTTAAGTCCTTGTCCTTGTCTAACCATTTGCAGATATAATTACAAAGGCAGCACCTTCTCCTCAGTTATTTTAAGACCCTGAGTGTTGGTCTGGCTGAGGCTTGAACCAAGACCTCCCGCACAACAGACCGATGCTCTTACCAACAGAGCTAATCGGGTTGCACACTGTGTGGGGTCAGTGTTGCTGGGACCTCAAGTCCGTTCACCTCCCCCTCATCATGCTTGTTTGCTTCTTATTTAATGGTTTTGTTTTTTTGTTCTCCCTTGTAATTCAAGCATGATAAAAGCCTCTAAATAAAAATAACATAAATATTAATGTTATTTTGTTGTCATTCATCCCTTCTCCATTTTGTAAATACAATTTTATTGTGTTGTTTTCTTCATGTTGTTGTCATTCTGTCTCTCTCTAGGGACCATATTCCTTAGTGTTAAAACAATAGACTGTTTTGATGTGATGCCATAGTCTTATAAGACAATTATTTTGTGTGTAAGGATTAAATTATAATATTCCTTGGTATCATTTCTTTAAAATGTCGTTGTTGTGTTCATAGGTATGAAAATGATAAAGAAACTTTTAAGCAGAAAGTGAATGAATGTTTAAGAACCTGTCATAACGAGCTACACATTCCTGTCGACGATGACCCCCATTGCATTCAGTAAGTTGATCTATTCTAAAAGCTAGTTCATTTTATCTACTTATCTGTTTCGTCTACACTCAATTGAAGACTCAGTGTCGGGTTCAGAAATATAGAACATACAAGCTGACACCGAAATGGCACATGGGAAGTACGTTAATTAGATGCATGCTATGACTTGCGACCCGTGGCATCATCCACTGTTTTTAATACGCGTTTGGCATTCTAAACCGACTGCATGGATAGTGCAAATGAATGAATTATAATATGATTATGTCATTTCCCATGTGCCATTTCGGTCTCAGCTTTTATGTTCTATGTTTCTGAACCCGACAACGATTCTTCAATTGAGTGTATACATCTATCTATACATCCATTTATTAATCCATTTTTTCTTTTGATACAGTTTTGTGGAGCTTGAACCCCAAAAAATTGATGAAGTCAAAGAAACCATACTTGAAAGTCAGGTAAGGATTGAAAATCTTACGATACACGTTAGGGTCATTTATGCAGGGGGAAATAAGATGCAAACTGATCCATTTATACTAGTGCCTCTTACATAAGATGCAAAGGTCATGTATTTACAGTTCGCTTCTTGTGATAATTAAATTTCTGGTCTGTGTGGGCTTCCTCTGTGTGGGCTTTCCCATGCTTTTCCTAACACTTCCAATTACAGTATTTTCAAACGATTTATATTGCAAACAATTCTACAGGGTTCRTGCTACTCCTTGAAATCCTTGAAAAGTCCTTGAATTGAAAACACGTTTTTAAGGGCTGAATTAGCTGTACTGTAACATTGAATCAATGTTTAAACCACGTTCYAATACAAAAACCTTTGTCCTTGAAAATCGAATTTTTGTGCTTGAAAAGTGCTTAAAAAGTCCTTGAATTTTGTAACAAAAATTTAGCACGAACCCTGATAGTACACAGTCAGAGAAAAGTAAGTGAATTCTGAGTTTATTTCAAGGTCGGGGAATTGTCAGGGAATTTTGATTTTGGTCAGAGAAATTTACAATTTATTAAAAAGTCAGGGCATTTTTGGGTAACCGGTCATGACGCCCCCTTGTCATGACGCCCCCAACCATAACGCCCCCACGTATACCATGACGCCCCCAGTCTGTACTACCATGACGCCCCCAGCATAAACCATGNAATAGAGACTAGGGGCGTCATGGTTTATGCTGGGGGCGTCATGGCAGTACAGACTGGGGGCGTCATGGTATACGTGGGGGCGTTATGGCTGGGGGCGTCATGACAAGGGGGCGTCATGACCGTAAACCCATTTTTGTCATCATTCTCAAATTGGTTTTGGTAATAATTATGTAATTTCACTCCAAAAAGAAACTTCCCAAAGATTCGAATATGTGGACCGCATAGCACTTATGAAATACAAGATATAGAAATATAGATAAGTYATAGTGCTTGGGAACGAGGTTATTCTGGGCGAATGACCCTTGGAAATAAATTTCGGAAAAATTAATTTCTGACCTCGCTGGGAATCGAACCCACGACCTTYGGAATTGTACTACYGATGCTCTAAGGTTCCCGACATTATYGATATATCGGTATCKTTATTTATTTTGATTTCCTTTGGTGAAACATGGCCATGTGTTTCATTTCTTTTGCAATCCAAAACGTATGTAATTATTATTTAACATTAAAACGAATAAAGAGAAATTTGCTGCTTGGTCATTGAAAAATGGATTTTGGTCAGGGAAAAGTCAGAGGATTTTCCATTTTCAGAAGAKTGGGAACCCTGTTTAAGCCAGAAAAATGGTGTAGATAAAATTATGGTCTAACACTTATTTCATATTCTGCAATCACTTGTTGCCTTATGACCGCACAAAGCACATATGATCAACAGAGCAGAATGAAAACGACGCAGCTGCCATTTTTGCAATTTCTTTCTTTATCTCTCATTCATGCTAAAAAAATGTTTAGTGTTTCATTCGTGTCTCTTGTGCTTTAAAATTTTCACAAAATTCTGCTAACCTCGAGCAATTCTACTTCGAGGTATTAGCGAAAATGTTAGTTTTTGTGCTGATCAAAATATCATCTCTCCCAATGTTCAGGGCGTGACATCTCAAATACGCATTCCTTAAATTTCCCCAAATTTTGTTAATAGGCCCCAAAAGAGCTTGTTTATGAAATATAAAGCTTATTAACAAATAAACGTCGAAAGTAGAACCCGTTTTTCTGCCCTGTCCATATGATCGAGTTTTCTATTTTTAAAGTCMTTTGCTGGATTTTTTCCAGAGCAAACCAGGAAAGCTACCAACAGCAAATGCTCACAAGTCAGGTTTGTCCTGGATGAAGAAAGGCAGTTCTGACATATTCACTATAGAACAAAGCTAATACTACCTACCTTTGGTTATAAAATACTGATTTATATTAAATCTGAATTATCTAAATATACTTACTTGGTATTAGCAGAATGCTTTTCATGGATCGTCAGATTTTTGTGTGTGTCAATAGACCCTTTGCCAAAATGGTGGCCGAAAAAATTGAAATGAGTTTAATAAGCCTAAAGTGAGATGACGTTTTACCCCTGACTCTATACCATAATAGTTTCTAAAATTYTTTCATATTAAAATTTTTGATTCCTTAGAGAATACAGGAACAATAGTCATAATTAAAGAACAAAAGCAGTGTGAAAAGGATTATGGTCTAGAGACAGGGGTAAAACGTCATCTCGCTTCAGGYTTATATAAAAGCCAATGACAGAACTAGGAAGAGTACCTTTACTTTAGCAACYCTACAAAGATTCATTATGTCAGATGTCATATCGGCCGAGAAAACTCATTACCCCYAGRGATACAAATGTCTGTAAATTTGATTTTTTTTCACTAAAGTTTTCTCGCCCAATATACCACCTGTCATGATAACTCTTTGTAGGGTTGCTAAAGGAAATGTGCTCTTTTCAGTGCTGGTATTGGTTTTTCACTAAGTTTAGTYTTAGATCATTCAAATTTGCAGTCGCCATTTTGGCAAAGGGTCRATCGTGTTATTGGTTTTTCTTCTACGTATAGTGAATTGCCCCCATCTGCTCATATTTTACTTTGCTTCAAAGGGTATTAATCTTGATAGTTGCGCAACAGATCTCTTTACCTCGGTTGTATCATTTTCCCATTCCAGATTATGTGTCATTCCCTTGAGAATAAGATTCTTTGCTTGAGTTGTATCCATAATCATGTATCTTCTCATGTGCAACAGTTAAACAAAGAAATGATCCTCTAGGGAATGAMACATGGYCTGAAATGRGAAAACAAAAATAGGRTRCAAATTTCCCAGACTTCTATTTTATTTTTTTAACTAACTTTCACTCCTTYACTCCTCTCATACCTAATATAACAGTCAACCAAAATAAATATATTTTGTTTTTAATATTTTTAAAACGAATATCTGTCTTTCTTATGYCAGAGTTTTCTTTAAAAAAAACTTGTCATAAGCTTGTCATCACTAATCACCTCCGCAAAGTACAGCATCATCCGTTTACCACACACTTTATTATCTCAAAAGTTGAGATTCACTCTATTTCCAGCTTATCTGAAATGACGTCACTGCAAAACTGAGGTGTCGTAGCCTGCAAAGCAGGCACTCTTGTGGGTTTAGGGAACTTTGGAACAAGCGAGAATTGAAAGCGAGCAAAAAAGAAAACAGGAACCCCAAAACCCCGATTCTTCCTCTCAAACCCATCAAAAGAACGCCTACTCTGCAGGCTAGGGTTGTCACGAATCCTGTGAAAATTGACCACAAAAATTTTAAAAAGTAGCCATCCAGTCACTGGAATGAAAATATAAAACTCATTAGTTATTGTGTCACTGTTATGGAGTGCTTTTAAGCAATGTTATTTTATTTGGTGGCCTGGAACTCCACATTTAAAGAGAAAAAGTGACACCTCAGTCACTAGACCAGCTGATAAGTAATCTTTTTGACTTGTAAAATTATATGACCTGGCAACAAAGTCCATTTTTAATGAAATGGAGTATGCAAAATATATATTTGATATGGTGTACATCGAAACCAAAGAAAAAATATATATTGATTAGTATGACATTCTAATGAACCTACCATGTACAAATTAGCAGTCTCTTTATTGTAAATTATAATGTTTATATCCTATATCAATTTTTTTGTTTTTGCGAGGACATATGATTTTCCTCAAATCATTAAGCTTTGTATATGTCAAGCATGAGAACTAGTATTGTGATAAGTTTTCCCAAATAGTGTATMAAATTAATAAATATCTCGAATATTAATTCTTCAATTTTGACACACATCACTTACAGTGCAACTACTGTAACCAGGGACACTTAGGGATGTACCATTAGATAATTGATGGAGGGGTTGCAGGAATTTTGGTTGCATGATTATTTATTTTTTTGGCTTAACCCTTGCACGTTATTTTTTGCGTACAGTTAGATATTTTTCTTCTAGCAGCAAAGGTTGCACGGTTATATATATTTTTTTGAGGTTTAAGTGCTTGCTCGATATTTTTTTGGGAATTTACGCAACCCCCCCCCATCAACTATCTAATGGTCCGTCCCTTAGGTCAGTAAGATAAGAGAACCAATTAAAATGTAAAATAAAAACAATGCATTCGAACTTTGGGTAGCTGAGCCAATCAGAAACCTAGACTGCACAAGAATGGTACTTTGACCCTGATGTTATGTGTAAACAGCTAGATAGCGATCGTCATTTTCTCGTGGGAATAAARAGATATGTTAATAGRCTATAGTTTTCTGCTGATTTCTGATTGGCTCCACTACCCAAAGTCGGAATGTATCGTTTTTAGTCTATGATTCGATTGGTTCTCGCTGTCTAAGTGGTCCCGGTTATAGAAGTCGCACTGTAAGCAGCAGAGTGTAGATCTAACAACATCCAATCAATTGTTTAACCACAGGTGATCATCAATCAATCAAAGTTTATTAACACCAATATACAGTCAATGTCATTAACGTTGTCCACCAAAAAAAGACATTTACACATTTAGACTAAAAGAAATATCACGTGTTTCCTCGAAGGTTTTGGCATAAAACAAATGCTGAAATACCATTCTCCATCTTAAATCCTCACTAAATGGTCAGGGCATTCTGGATTTTCGATTCACAAGTTGAATTTTACATTTAAAGTTCAGGCTGACGCACACGAGGCAAAGAGTACATAATGAAACACGTGATATTTCTTTTAGTCTAAATGTGTAAATGTCTTTTTTCGGTGGACAACGTTAATGACATTGACTGTATATATATATATACTGCGGTTTGCATAATTTTTGACCCTTTCGTACATAAATACAAGTATATCAAAAGTACATCAATTATGGGATACGATCCCAGATATTTTTTCGAGTTGCCCAYCACTGGGGCTTTCTGAAAAAAATATCAGACAAATCTTATCCACTGGATAAAGATTTATCTACCGGATAGCGCTATCCAGGCTTCTTACAACCGCGCTCTGAAGTAACTTCAAGAAATCATCAACAGTATGTAAATCTTACATTTTAAAATATTTTTGGGTAATCCCCATCCCTCGTTCAAACTACAGATTTTCAGTATTCACGACATAACATAATATCAAAAAAAAAATACGACAGCCTCCCCCCTAGATTTTGCAGCACCAAAATTACTGCCCCTTCAAATCCAATAWACCCCCCACCCCACCCCATGGGAGCATTCATAATTTATGTGTATTTTCATAAGTTAGTAGATTTAGTAGTATGTAGATTTCAAACTTTGAGGTAAYCACTTTTTGGAACCCCTCCAGAATAAACGTAATCTTTCTTGATAGCCAGTAAAATGTTTCAAAAGTTTAATTCGAAAATCGTAACTTACTTCTCCAACTCAAAGGCACCTAGTTTTAGAAAACTAAATTCAAATTTTCTGAGCCGTTTTTGAACTATCTTGATAAAGAAAACACGTTTTGTAACTTTGACTTGAAGCTCACAAAGTCGGTTCAAAGTTCGTTGTGAATGAATAAATTATCTCTGTGA